CCGAGCCACAAAGCGCTGAGCGGCCGTCCTCGGCCATCCATCTCCAAGCATAGCAGACGCCGCAACGAGCAACCTGCGGTTGGCAGCCACAATCAACAGCCGGCGCTTTTGCGCTCTCAGTTCCTACGTGTTGCAGAAGACGAAGATTTCCAAGATTACCAAGAGCAACACCAAGATCCGGAAGAACAGCAGGACGCAGCAGTGGCTGCACCGGCGACCCCGCCATTTCCACCTCCGCATCATTCTGATCCGGATTCATCGACTGAGATTATGGCAGCAATAACGCAGTTTCACAATTCGTTGCTTGAATCGAATGCCAAACTCGAGCGCCTGATACAACAGGCTACAACGGTGTTGACCACTCAACACGAGGCTACCACGGCGATCCTCGCCTCGTGCAAACAGCAGCTCGACGTACTCGAAAGCCTCATCAGGCAAAACGCGCCTGATTGGTCGTGAATATGCTGCTAAGGTACGCTGGTATAAAAAGAGCCAGGTAGTGCACACTTCTCGCATTTCAACACATGTTGCTTTCAGACACATACCATAACTGTGCCTTCTGAAGTTTTTGCCTCAGAGTGACACCTATTGGAATCCCGACATCGAGCCATGAGCGAAGCATCTCTTCCGACAAACACAGTGACTACAGATTCGCCACCCGTCGATGAGTCACGACGTGAAGCTCTCTCCGAGGCCCTCATGGAGATTTTGACACAGCATCGGGACTATGATTCCGAAACTGGAAGTGAACCTTCCACATTCAGTGACGAGGCTCTACGCGACCAATTAGCCGAGTTTATTCTGCAAACAACCCGGCAGATCACAGAGCTAAAGCAACGAGTGGAAAGACTCGAAGCTTCGCAACAATAGGTGATCAACCATGTTCATACCACCATTGGGTGCTTTGCAGCGGACGGTTAAAACAACGATTGTCGTTGTTGCCAATTGTGACAGTCAGTGCACTCACTTCACATATGTTTGGTATGCAGCGATTGATGCACTCTTTCCCGCAGCATTTTGCAAAACAACCAGTTGTGTTAGCACCATGGAACAACGCACCAGATCGCGATCTCCCACGGCATCACAATGGAGATGGCATTGGGCCACTAACGGCTCTTCATGGTGGCGTGAGTACTTTATCGCATCTCAAGAGTGGATACGAAAGCATTCGGAGCAACCTGATCAGCGTCCGACATCAACGACTCCTACCCAAAAGGAGACAGTATCTACTACATCAACTCCTACATCCAACAAGAGAAAGCGGTCAAGAACTCCGTGAGCAACATTGCTGAGTTGACAATTAGATGCACATTTGCTGCCCCCGGCAGCCAACAACCACACAGCAAAGCTGTGCTGCGAACTCCATCATTCCTGATGAGGTTCAACATTAAGAGCATCATGTTGAAAGGTCATGCCGGTCGGCGAGGTTGCTCAATTGATGTCTCTGTGTACCTCTCTCTCTCTCTTCTGAAGATCAGCGTATGCACATGCCTCAATGCAGTTGTGACTCCGCAGCCATTTCTCAGAACTACAGTTGCTGAAACATATTTAGGATCGCACACAGATGGACGAGGATGACGACAGCAGCCTATGGGGATCCGAAGAGATTGATGCCTTCCTGAGGAAGGATGACACCACCACATCCTCCCATGCAGTCAGTCACACACACAAGCAAAAAACAAAGCACACAACGAGGACAAAAAAGAAGAAAGACAACAAAGACAAAAAGGACAAAACAGTCATGAAAACAAAGAAAACACGCAACATCTCACCACCATCCCAATCCACAACACAGCAACGACGCCAACATCCACATACTACAAGACGAAAGAGGACACGCTCTTCGCATTCAACATCATCAGCGTCACCTACGGCAACGTCACACATGGCTGAGGACGCACACCGGTCTCCATCTCGAGATCCTTGGTCTTCTGACTCGATTGCACCTTACGATATTGTGCATCCTACTATTCAGCACAAGCGGTCCAAAACCGCTTGTGCAAAAATGCTGGTACGTGCAGGTTTTAGGTGTCGATGCCATTTCAAGATCATGAGTGACTGTCCCAACAAACTCGCTGTTGGACCCTAATTCTCAGGACGGATTAGGGCTGCAAGATCCGCTAAGCGTGACAAAAAGCCTGCGCATGCGAGTGTCAGGACGACACCACTTTGTTGTTTTGCCAGAGCACACATCATGTCCATGTTGATTTGCATTCCTTGTTCAAGCTTTTGTCGGTTGGTAGCAGCAAAAATATGACAAAGCGAAAGGCTGCCGAGGCCGGCCTTCCATGGTACTCCATGGCAGGACAATGTTTTCGGATGACTGTTGAAATTCCACCCGACCGCATCACCAGAGACAAGCACATGTTCTTACACGTGGTGCTTTGTCTGGGTGACAACGTTCTACAAGCTCGCAAGATCTTCTCCTACCGCATCAAGGAGATCACCGGCAGAACTCCTAAAATCCCAGCTTTCTTCTTCGAACAAAACCGTCGACGACTACATGATTGGGATTCAGTCACCACATTAGCCACGTTGATGCCGGTGCTTTTTGTTAGAACCTGTTCGGATCAGGAAATACGACAATCACCCGATCGCTATTGACAGCGAGAAAAGTGCGCCATTCACTCCTATTGCCGCGCATCAGACCTTTCACTCTACTTGAAGCATGTACGCCCCATTGGGGCTGTGTGTGTGAACCTCCCTAGCACATGGGAGCAGAGGATCACTCCTACATTGTTTGCAATTTCGCTTTTCAACATAATCCGGCATTAGACATTTACCAAATCAACTGTTGCAGGGGGACACAGCATGTCGCTGGGACTGTGTCCAACGAAGCTACCAGTGACATGGGAGGAGAGGACTGATCATCCTCTTGTACCTGCAAGCTGGGCCCCCTGAGGCAGCAAGATTAGAAAACGCTGGCCCCCTGAGGCAGCAAGATTAGTGCATTTACGGTTTTCACCTTTTGCTTGAGCACAAAGCCTTGCACGTTTGCCGCAATCTGACAAGCTTTTGCAACAACATGCCTCTCTTTTTCCTCTTGCACTCGTACTCTTGGCCGAATCCATCAGTGTCTGTGTGTCTGTGTGTCTGTGTGTCTGTGTCTGTGTCTGTGTCTGCGTCTGTGTCTGCGTCTGTGTCCGTGTCTGTGTCTGTGTCTGTGTGTGTGTGTATCTGTGTGTGTGTGTGTGTGCAGTGAGTGTGTGTGTGTGTGCAGTGTGTGTGTGTGTGTGTGTATTGTGTGCGTGTGTTGTGTGCATGTACTGTGAGTGTATATATATATATATACTGCGTGTGTGAACCCACACTATGTTGAGGTGACCGAACATGCACACCTTGTCAATGGTCGCAATGCACACTCCGCCAGGCGGCAGGGAATCCTGCCGCTGGCTCATCCCCCTCACGAGGCCTACAAGAAGCCGCATGGGGCTACACCGGGCACAAGCCCATGCCAACGCAGCCCTCGCCAGGGGCAAGCACGAAGCACTGCCCACTCCAGGGGCCACATAGAGACACTGTAAGAAGGTGTGAGAAGGGGTGGGAAATTCTGTGTGCAGCAAGTGGTGCAAGCAGAAGCTGCACACAAGCTCACTTAACACCTGTGTGTTCGTTGCATGCGCCAGTAGAGTAGCATGCGCGCGCAGGCATCCCAACACACATTATGTTAAGGTGACCGAACACATGCACACCTTTTCAATGGTCGCAATGCGCACTCCGCCAGGCGGCAGGGAATCCTGCCGCTGGCTCATCCCCCACAGCAATGGGACCGGACAGAGAGGGCCTAAACCGCTAGCCAGTGGGCGCCACTAAGAAGATGGAACAGTCCAAGGCTCAGTCAACACAAACCTGCAGTCGGCTTTGATCGCAGAGGCCGACCGGGATTGACCCACTGCTCAGCGCAGCAGCAAGGCTATTCCCGCACGCCTGCGATGTGCGACACCTGCGAGTGGAAACCTAGGCAGCATGCCCGGAAACACAGCGCCTGAAGCACGAAACACAACGGCTCCTTCAAAGATCTTAGACACCGATGCGGACAGCGAAGTGTGAAGGCAAGCTTTAACCACGCCAAGAAGCAGTAAAGAGAACCACGACAAGGACCCACCCACAACCACGACAAGGAACAAAGAATAACCGCGGCAAGGAAGAAACATCTTCCGCGACACGAAACCAAAACCTCCCTTCCCCCCAAAAAAACCGAGCGCTCACATCAGAAACGCACGCATAAACTGCAAAAGTAGATGCTCACCTCCGGCAACCACTGCTCCAGCCCAGCAGCCGCGCAACTTTTCTGGCGAGTTGCCACGAACTGTCTGGAATCGAGGCAGAGTCTCAAAACTCTCGAAAGCCTACTGTGAATGGTTGGGATCCTATTAAAAACAAATAAAAGGGAACTACAATGAACCCTAAACCCTGAACCCTAATAATGGAGACTACAGATCTCTTGATACGTTCCAGCGACGCAGCACCGCGTACACAACCATCTGCTCTTTTGCAGACGGCCAAGCTTAAAGACTTCTAGCTGCAGAGGACGGCGCGACAATTAAACGCACGCACAGCTTACGTCATTGCATTGGCAGTGCGAAGCCTGTGCACCAGATCTACTCGTCTTCCCTTGGCCGGAAGGCCCATCGACGCGAGCCTCACTCGTGCCTCCAAGGCCTGAGGATGCTCATGGAGACGTGACGATATGTCCAAGCAAAGAGCAGCTTCAGGCTTTGGCGCTGATGTTCTCCAGAGCGACAGCCCGCAGACTACGATCGACATGTTCTTCCTGTAAAGTTGTGCAATGATGTGGAATGACAAGAACGACAACACTCTCGAGCCATTCGTATCGGCCTGTCCCGCTCCAGGCTCGGCACAGTCTGCATGCCTTTCCTGCGAAGTTTTGGAATCAGAACACTCCATCACGTTGTGTAGCTGGCCTCGGCACTTTCGGCGAGCACAGCACGGTGCTCCTGAGATGCAAAGTCTCTGAAACGAGAGCAAACTCTAACGCCTCAAATCCCATGCGTGTCCTCTGGTGGCTCCAACAGCCTCTGGATCAGCTCAAGCTTGCTCCCCGTGAAGCTTTTGCCAAGCTTGAACAGGCGGACTCGGAGCTCCAGCACCTTGCAGCACCAGGCATCATGGTGTCGACGTGAAAATTGGATTGACAAGGCGGGCACTGTGAGTTGGCTCTCTGGCACATCCGGTAGCTGGGCCTGAAAACACCCCATGTCATGTTCATGTCAGAACAAAGTGTCACGAATCCACAATGGGCCTTTTGTGAGACCTTGCGAACAGCTTTCGCCTGAAACCGAAATGCAACTCTGCACGAGGATTCTTGGTGCGACTCATAGGGCCTACTACTATTATTATTATTACTACAGTACTACTGCTGCTGCTGCTGCTACTACTATTGCTGCTACTGCTACTGCTACTGCTACTGCTACTCCTACCATCACCTCAATCTTAAGACTGTGGAACGGCAGGCCTGCTCGGCTTCCTCGTGTCTGGCCTTTCCGCAGGGTTGGATCTTTCGGCTTGGCTGTGTAAGATATAATCTCTAAGAGCCATGGGGAGCAAACCCTTGTTGTCTAGAACTCGCCTGGCCTCCTTCTGACGTGCACGGAGAAGTTTGCCCATGCAGGCTGCATCGGATATGCGCGAACCGAATCTCATGTCTGCCAGTGTCAACGTTTTCTTTTTGCGGTGAGTTGCCGCCTGCTCGCCACGCACGAACTGGAGGGACGCAAACTCTTCCGCGGACTTACACAACAAAGTCAGTGCTGCCGTGCTGAACTGGAACCCACGATCCGTCCATTTCTTAACCTCCTTGCTGACATGCTTTGGCACGATGACTTCATTGCCATACCGCTCCTCGGCCTCGCTGTTGTCCTTGGGTAGGTCGGCAAGGGTCCCAGGCAGGAGCATTGTAGAAGCTTCCACGCGAAACACCTGGCTTTCAGAATCCCATTGCACCTTCTGCAGGGACTTTCTGCAACGTGGACAGGACATGAGCGTGACGACGGGGAAGTAAATCCTTGCACATGGTCCGCAGTGCTGCGCCAAGAGCGGATTGCCGTCGGCGGGGGCCCAGACAGCGGCCAGCTGCCTTTCTGGCTTGATGCTGGAACCAGGCGGCGTCTGGAAAATCACGAGCTGGGAGGTACGCTCCTCCCACTCGGAAGCATCAAGCAGCTCGTCGTCCACTGCATCCGCACCGGCCTGTGCAAGGGCCTTCTTCGCGGCCTCGTGCTGCTCAAGGAACGGACGCTTCTCCGCTGGGTTCAAGCCTTTCCAAAGGCCCGCGGCATACTTGTTGCGCTCGCTCACTGTGCTGGCCCTGTCGGCAAAGTCCACGGAGGCCATGAAAAAGTGGAAGGCACTCTTCGCCCTTCGAAACTTCTTCTTGTCTGCCTTCGGCCTGTTCAAGAGGACACGTAAAACGAAGACGACCAAATGCCAGACCTGGCCTGGCGTCATCCTCTTTCTCCGAAGCTTCAGCCTCTCGTTCCGGGAGCTCCTCCGACAGCAGGCAGCATCCGAGTCCAGAATGTGAATTGCATGAGGAAATGTGCGATCATTTGTCCTCCGGGGCTTCTGGCTCGTCAGGAACCATGTCGTGCGGGAAATACACGAAGGATTTTTTCTTTTTTTTTTCGATCACAAGCTTCTTCTGCACGAGATCTGCAAGGACCTCCCGGCGCTCATGTCATGCCCCTCAGGCTTCCAACACGAAAGGCCGGCCTGGCCTTGGCCGCCAGCTCCCGCCTCAAGGCAGTCGACTTCGCAACCCGGCTGCTTGCTGCACCCGGGCTTCGACGCAGCTCCAGATAGACACTCCTGGTAAAAGGCATGAACAGCTCACACAGGAAACAAAGAACAACACCACTTTGGCTCGCCTGTGCTTGTCAGGCAAATCGTCGATTGGGTCGTGGTCTGGCCCTCCGCGCTCTCCCTGCAAAAGCTAGTTTAGGGCAACGTCAACATGGTTCGAAGTAGGTTCTCCTACGAGCTGTGAGACCCCCAGACTCCAACCTGTTCCAGACTAAAGCAGTATTCCACCCCAACAACCCTGTAAACCAAAACTGTTGAAAAGATTGAAGAGCGTAACAACCCGCAAAAGGCCTTAGACGAGGATGCTGGCGGTTTTGACCCTAGACATTGATGGGACAGCAGTTTGGACTACAATGCGAGATCCAGCAATCCAGCCTGAAAGCCGAGTAAAAAAAACTGACGCGAAATCCTGCAATCCAGTCAAAACCATTAAAAAACCCGTTGACATCTGTTTGGACTAGGATTTTGGCGCGCAATCCAGCAATCCAGCCAAAAAGCAAGACAGCACTCATACAGTACCCCCAGAAGCCTCACGGAATTCGTAATGCATCTAATTCGAGACAGCCTCGGCTGCCGCTTTCTCAGCTGCCTTCTTTTTTGACTTTGGCTCCTGCTCACAAGTTTGGACGGACAAGCAAAGCCCCACGCGCTTCCAGGCATTGCGTACACTGAGATGCTAATTAACACTATCGTGCCCTTGCCGATATGAGCGTGGAGGCCTTGCCCGCCTTCTCCTTTGCTCGCACTTCGGGCTTTGGCTCCTGCGCACCATTTTGAATGGGGGTCTCACCCCTTCATGTCCTTGAAGCTGGCTTCGGGAACGACGGGCGACACCCAGCAGTCTAGCCGAAAAAACTGTCAATGAATCCGTTGATAGGAGTTTTGGCTTCTCGTTGTCAAGTCCCAGAAGTCTCACGGAATTCGTAATGCATCTAATTTGAGACAGCCTCGGCTGCCGCTTTCCCAGCTGTCTTCTTTTTTGACTTTGGATCCTGCTCACAAGTTTGGACGGACAAGCACAGCCCCCAAGCGTACCCAGGCATTGGAAACATCGTGCCCAGGCCGACAAAAGCGTGGAAGCCTTGGCCACCTTCTCCTTTGCTCGCGCTCTGGGCTTGGGCTCCTGCACGCAGGTTTGAAAGACTCCGGGGGCTTGAAGCTGGCTTCTGAAACGACGAGCGAAAAAGAAACTAAGCGCAACCTTGGCCAAGTTCCGTTTCTTCTTTGCTTTTTCGGCTATTGGCTTTGGCTCATCCTGCACATGAAAGTGTTTCGAGATCTAAGCAGAGTCTAGCAACAAAAGACTCGCAGTTCACCTGGGTAGTAAGTGGTACTATGCTGCTCGTTGTGCACTGGATTCTTGCTCTCTAGAAAATTCTTGTATGCCTCTGGAGCACGCGGATCTGCATCGGCGGCTTCTGCGAAGGACTCGCGCACAGAGTCAGCCGCCTCGTTTCAAAAGTACAACAGCTGCTGGACTACCCACTGCGAATGCCTCTGGGGCGTGTGCCTCTGGAGCACGCAGATCTGCATCGGCAGTTTCTACGCAGGACTCGCGCACGGGGTCAGCCGCCTCGTTTCCAAAGCGCAACAGCTGCTGGAACACCCACTGCGAAAGTTTGTAAGGCTGCTCAACACGAGCTGGCACTACAGCAAATCTCGCCTCGCGGCTGTCCTTGTTCGGGTGGTCTCTAGCCACCAAGTCCCAATGCCCACATCCATTTTTCCACGAAAAATGAATGTGGACTGCCGTGGTTGCTCCATTGGGTCCGAACACGCGGTCTTCATAAGCCAAGCCCTCGACGCCATGCTTCTGCGCGATGGCCAGCGCCTGAGACACAGCGCTGGGCTTCACAAAAAGGCAAGTCAATCGACGGAGCGCCTGGCCTGCGGATCGCAAGAGCTTCGAATGGATATCTGCAGCGTGTGCGCAATCCATTCCACGTCCTGACCGCACACAGCGTGAATGTCTACATCCCCTGAAGCATGACAACCAGAGACTGCATCCTGCAGTTCGAAGAACTTCTCTTTCTGGACGCGCTCGATCGCCTCCAGTAAGCATGCATGTGTGTGTTGAAAAGCGAACACTTTGCGATCTGCCTCTGCGCGGCTCGGGTGCTGCAGCAACGCATTCTCGCAGGTCTTTTGCAGCAAGACTGTAGCGAGGCTGCTTTCTGCAAGGACTTGCTCCCTCGCAAGCGGGTATCCAACTTCGGACCTCGCAGACGGGGTTTAGGCTGGAGGATGTTACAGTTCAGGCTCTGCAGTTCTGCTTGCGGATTTGCTGGAACTTTGAATCCAAGTGTCCGGGGCACTGCTAAATAAGCAGCTTCATCGCGCCCAGCAATGATGGAATGCCATCCACACAAGCCATCAGGTGTGATGGGAATCAAATTCCATCCTTGCGGGGCCGCGACCAGCTGAAGCTTTGCCTGCACACATCAGGATTCGGAGCCCCTTTCATGCATTAACCCGTTGGAAGCTTGCCCGGCAATCCTCTTTCGAAGGAGAGGAGGTAAGGTCTATTGGCGTGTCCGTCAACTCGACAACTTCCTGCACGGGTGCGAATCCGCCCGATCAAACCTTAGGGGCTTCTGGAGGTTGCGAAGCTCAAAAAAAACCCTATCACAAATCCCTTGCAATCCTGCCCAAAAGCCTGGTCAAAAAAACATTGAAATCATCCAGCCCAAAAATCAAGAAAAAACTTGGACAGCAGTTTTGACTAGGATTCTGGCCCGAAATCCAGCAATCCAGCCCAAAAGCCTAGTCAAAAAAACCTGCCGACGCGAAATCCAGCCATCCAGCCAAAAAGCCAAGCAAAAACCTGGACAGCAGTTTTGATTAGGATTTTGGCGCGAAATCCAATCCAGCCCAGCAACCTAGTCAAAAGCCTAATGACAGCAGTTTTGACTAGGATTCTGGCCCGAAATCCAGCAATCCAGCCCAAAAGCCTAGTCAAAAAAAAACTGCCGACGAGAAATCCAGCCATCCAGCCAAAAAGCCAAGCAAAAACCTGGACAGCAGTTTTGACTAGGATTCTGGCCTTGACGCGAAATCCAGCCAATAAAGCCAATCAAAAAACCATTGACAGCAGTTTTGACTAGGATTTTGGCCCGAAATCCAGCAATGCAGCCCAAAAGCCTAGTCAAAAGCCTGATGACAGCAGTTTTGACTAGGATTTTGGCCCGAAATCCAGCAATCCAGCCCAAAAGCCTAGTCAAAAAATCATTGAAAGGAGCGAATTCTCTCATTTCCCACTGCGGAAGCACAGTAACACAATTCGTACTTGCAGGCCTGCCAGCTTGCATCCCCTTCAACCAGCAGTCCTGCATGGACTGCTGCAAAAGAATAACCGAAGCATGCGGTGATACATCGAAACCAGCCTTCGGCTCCGAGTTGAAGCTTTTGAGGCTTTCCCACAAACGCCTCCTGATTGAACAAGTGTTCCATTCAAGCGGCCGCGGCCCGCACGAAAAATGAGTAGTGGCATGCAGCACTTATCGCAGCACGACTGGCCATTGGCTGTGGAGGCCTGTTGCTTTGCGTCTTTACCATCCGTCCCGCCTGGATTCTTGCTGAAAATACAAATAACATGCCATGCCATGCTTTGGGAGAACCTGCCTTCGTGGCCCTGCTCAGCCTCTTGAGGCTTGTCCTCAAGCGGTTCCTGATTGACCTCCGGACGACAGATTACCATGTAAAGACGCTGTCAAATTCGAGTGGGTGGCCTCGTCCTGCACCGGAGCAGCTGCACCCCGGCCTGTCGGGAAGTGATTGCAAACAGGATAGTAGTTCCTTCAAGAGCACTGCCTGCAAGCCCGTCGGGCTCCTGTGCTGTGGGGTCTGACGGCGCATCTTTCTTGCCTGCCCGTCACGATTTGTCTAGACATGGGAACGATCTACTTCCTGAACAAAGCCTGCCGCACTCCCGTTGGAATCTGACTTTCTTCCTGCCGGGAATGCTTTGCACAAATGGAGCATGCCGCATGTTCCTGCACACAAGCCCGCCACGTGTCCTCGCTTGGAGTCTAAAGGGCTTCTCACACGTACACGGCTGGAGTCTTGAGGTCCACAGCCGGAGTCCGAAGAGCTTCGCTTTCTTCCCATGGAAACAAGTGCTGAGTGGTTAACACCAGGAGCACTGGACGGAACTACTTACTCCTACTGTGCTCACAGTCTACTGTTGCTCCGCAATCCGCGCCACATGTGTGCCCTCGATCTGTGCCTGGGGGTCCGAAGCCAAGCTGACAGCTGAGGCAAGGCACACATGCAGCCAAACAAGTGCACAGTGCTGCACCAAGAGCGCAGCAAGGGTAGTCGGGTGATGTGATTCACTATTCACATCGCTGCAGCATCCCTGAACGCTTCGAGCTGTGTACATCCAGAGCCGCTCAGTTCAAGTCTCGAGCACCTGCGCACACAGTCAGACATGCCGGCACAGGGCTGAGCTATGCGGAATCTCCTGCAGCACGCTTCCTCCTCATGTGCAACGCAAAGCGACCCAAGACCTGTCGTATCGAGACCCAAACTTCCCACAGCCAAGGCCTAAATCTAGGAGTCGCCCGCCTGAAGCTCCTGTGACTTCAAAACCCCTAATTCAGGAACATATCGTAATTTTATACTAGGAACCCATATATGGCGTAAGGTATGATACTTAATTAAGCGGTCTCTGGGGCTCGAAACTTCACAGGTGGAACACTCGCAAGGCTTACCTCATTTGTGTCACAGCTGTGAGGTCTGGTGCGCATCGTCTGCATCGACGGCTCTCTTGCCTCTGGCACATCAAAGAAGCCGCGATGCTCGGGAAGCATAAGCACACGTAAGTGCAAAAGTCAGCGAAAAAGGCAAAGCGGAACCATGCCCTAGCAATGATTCCGCCCCGCCTGCTGGACCGGCACATCCTCCTCGTCCCTAAAACATGGGAAATTGCAAAAAACAAACTCTCCCCGGTTGTTTGGAGCCTGCCATCACCTGCGAAGGCGTGCCCGCGGAGCCTGTGCTTCTTCAGACCTGCTACGTCTGCCAGCTCTGACTACGTCCTGCTGTGCAGGCGGGATCTGCTGACCGACATGCGTCTTCTTGTCCCAAAACTGCTCGCAGGCATACTGGTGGACACAATGTCCTCGCCACGCATGGGCCCAGCATGTACACCTGATATCGTACGATCCATCGGCCTCCGTCAGGCACCACACTAGACACCATGTCTGCCACAGTTGCTCATACTGCTCTTTGTCAAAGAAAGGGCCGTCGTCATTCTCCTGGTACAGCAAGCCGTCAGCTTGCAGCAAGTTCTGTAGATCCGTTACCTTCTTCGTGCGCAGCTGGGCGCGCATTTTCTGCAAAGTGCCAGGGGGTATTTGCCTTGGGTGACCAATGGCCATGGCAACATACTGAGCGTTTCCTGAAGCCCATGTCTCATGGGGGAATCGCCGTCTGCAGCTCCGCATCTTGTGCAAAATGAGCTCGATGCTAGCGAAGGCGACGACATGACCTCCAGCAGGCATGCGAAGGTTGGCACCTTCGTGGTACATCCACTGGTCAGGACAGCTTGGCCGGCCCAGGCGAACGTCGCCCATCATAGAAATAGGCTCGTTGCTGGCCTCATCCACAGGGCTCAGGGGAGCCAGCCATGTAGGCAAACACTTCTCCAGGGCAAGGATCACATCCTCATGTTTTCGAATTTCTCCCTGGCTGCGCAAATCTCTTTTCAACTTTGAATTGGCGGCCTCAGCTGTCTGTTGCGAGGATGGATGACCCACGCTGTGCAAACCCTTGCAAGATCCCAGGCCGGACCACCAGAGGGCTGTGAAGAGCCTTGCAACGCCATATGTTTCCATCGGCACATCTCTCCAGCACAGGTACTCCTTCTCCCAATATGAAGCCCACCGGTTTTCCAACCAGACTCGGCGAATGCGGTCCAGGATCACGGTCAGAAATACATGTAGCATGGACTCGGTCGGGACAAAAAGAAGACAGCGTACCAGCGCAAGCGCGGCCCATATTGGCCGATTGACCAAGTGCGGTGGCCTAGCCTTGGCTTTGGCCTTGGGCTTGGCCTGGGCTCGTGCTCTCCCGCGACCGGCGGCCTTGGGGGCGGCCTGCCGGGGAGGCCTGGTGCCAGCGGACTGATTGGACTTCAAATTCCGCCGCATGTGCTCTACTCCACAACGGAGCTGAATGCGTGGAAAGGTAGAGGCAGAGGCAATTCTGGATCCGTCGAACCAATCTAAGCTGATGCTCGAGGGCTTTGGCAATCCTCGAGCGGCCAACCCGTCTCGAAGCGCGACAAGCATGCGGCCGTAGATGGTCCCATCCTCACTGCGACTGCACGACATAACCATTGGCCAGAAGGACTTCCGAGAGGTCTGCTGCAAGCGCCTGTGCACTCGAAGACCTTAGCCGCTTGAGAAACAACTGATCTGTGCGCAGCCGTCAGCCTGGGGTCAACAAGGGCTCTAGACAATTGTTGAACCAATGCCGGTCGAGGTGCACAGCACTCCGTAGGAGTAACCCATGATCGCTAAGCGAAACGTGAAGTCACTCGTGACATGGATTGCATCTGGGTGCCGGCTGTGCAAGTCCCTTGCAGCCTCGAAAAAGCCAGTCAGCCGCACCACCCACTGAAAAGGCGTCCTGAGGGCGAAAATGAAAACCCTTACCCGTGCTGCTAACTCCTCATGCGAAGCACCCGGCCTAGAAGTGTAGGCAAACTCGAGCTTCTCCGTGTCTCGGGTAGCAGCAAAAGCTTCGAACGTGTCCTGGGACTCTGTCCACTCGCGGGTCCCTGCCCCATATTTGCTTTTGTGGTTCCGGAGGATCGTGCGAATACGCGCCCGGGGGATGCCCGGGCCCATGCGAATTGCAACCGCAGCTGTGGTGGCTTTGCGGCTGGTGACCAAGAGAGTCTCTGCTGCCTTCAAAACCTGTTCTCTTTCGCCAACTGTAATCTCACCATCTTTGTGTTTCTTGGCTTTGCGCGCCTTTTGGGGCTCGCCATGACAAGCGCCGGCGCTTTGCACTGAGAGCTCAAAAATGCCGACCCGCGCCCAGCATCCAGTGAAGGCAAAGACCCTGCCGGCTCCCTGGACGCACATAGCACAGCGGTGGCAGCGAGCCGTGCACCGCCAATCGTCTCGCGGCAGCTGCCGGGGTGTGGATATGTTTCCGAGCGTGACATCATTTGTAGAGGCCCAAAGTCTAGCAGCAGCTCTCAATACGTTTTTGATAAAGTCCTTTGGTAAACGGTCTGCCGAATACGAGACACGCTCCAATTCTTGGAATTGCAAGCTTCGTCTCGCCGGACGGGCAGGATTTGGATCTTCTTCTTCAACAGGCAGGGCTGGTTCCATGGCCGTGTGGGCACGACGTGTGTCTCACGAAGCTCACAATAAATTGATCCAAAAGTATGAAGCTACTGCAAACCCCATGGCCATGTCCTTCCTTGCCCTGACTTTCAGCCTAGACCCGTATTGGGTTCCAAGCCCCCGAATGCTGATTGGTTGCTGTGATTCCTGCTGACTCGCTCGTGCCGGGGGCTTCGGGTCTGTAGTGCTCATGCCGGACTCTGTATGACCGGGCTACCAGCGCACTTGCCAGACACGAGAGATGCTTCCAGCCTGTAGCACCCTGATCGGCCGCAAGGCTTCGAGGCCTTCCGGGCAGCGCAAGGGTACAGGGGTTGGGAACTTCATGTGCGTTGAGGTTTAGGCTGCTTAGTCGGAATACCACAAAGGGCTTAGGACTTACAGTGGACGCCAAAAAGTTGGAACATGCACACCCTAACATTCAGCACTCCATGAGCGAGCGCGTGCAAGTTCCAATTTCGGCATTATGTTCCAAAGTTGGAACATTCTGATTCTTACTGGACCGGCCGGAAAACCCAGTGTCTGTGGATGTCATCAAGGTTGGCCATGGATGATATGGACATCATTATGCTTGGAGGGTGGGGGGGCACCCTGTGGAGGGGAAACAACCTAACCTAGCACTATCCTAAACCCTAAGCCCAGCTTCCCCTGGTTGGGGGACCCCAAAAAAATATACAGTAAATGCTGGGCCCTAAACCCTACGTGCCCGCTTTCCCCTAAAACTTGGGGGGCTAGGCACCCTAAACCCTATGCCCGGTTTCCCCAAAAATATAGGGACCTAGGCAGATGTGTCCTAAACCACCCTGAAAAACCCTGAAACGAAACCACCCCCACACGCAAACCGCAACCCTAGGAACCGGGGGGGCGGGGGGCGGGTTGGGAGGGAGGGTTTGAGGCAACACCAACCATGTTCCAACTTTAGCCTCCAAGATCAAAGTCGGAACCTGTGGCTTGGGGCCAATTTGCTCCAGTGGACACGTTCCAACCTCCCGGCTTCCACCATAGGGCCTAAGGTTGTCTGGGGAAGGGAACAAAATGCGTGTCTCCGGCCCTCTGTCAAGCGGCGGTGATCATCAATGCCAGCTGCGTCAGCTGCCGAAAGAAGCGAAATACTCTGAAGACTCCTTCGTACGAGCAGCATGACCGGCCAGGGGGGCTCACGCCGTAACAGACTCACTCCAAGCTTCGGATAATGCAGAGGGTCTTCAACATCTTCACCGTGTCGAAACCATTTGCGCCGGCACCCATGGCTCCTTGTGGCAGGGCAACGGGCTGGCAGCACAGGCAGACCAAGAGCAGAGGGCAGACCCAGAGCTCTGTTGCTTTCGAGCGTCTCACCACCACAATGTCAAAGACCAGCACGAGGTCGAAGAAATTCCTTAGATCGCCATCGAAGCAGTCCGCTTCCTTCCCTCTGCCACGGCAACCGAGCTGACTTGACTGCAGCACGGCTGCCACAATCGCATATCCAAATCCGTAAACCAGCTGGCCTGCTGAACAAGCGGTGAGAACATTCAGCTGGCACACAAGCAAGAGACGCCCAAGACGATGCCAGATGGCAGCATGAGGGGGGCCTGGTGCGCCCCGATCCGCAAAGTCAGCTCCTTAGCAGCCAGTCAGAGCCGCTTGCATGAAATGAAGCGTGCAAGCGACGACACCGCCAAACAGCTAGCACATTCTTGTGCGACGTTTACCCTCGAGATCCTGGTCCAAAAGCTCACATGGCGAGGTGCGACAATGAAATAAGCGGTGCAGAGCTGACTCACCAACTCCACACCTCACCCTAAACCCTAAACCCTTCTAAGCAGAAGCCAAGCCTGTGTGCTCCAGCGTCAGCACATGCGCTGGTTCCATGCACCCAAGGGGCAGCGGAGGAGCATTACATTGGTGAAGTGCATGTACACTTGGAAATTATTGGCTTATCAGTTCGCAGCGCTCCAGCAACGAACGAGATGAGCACAGAACCCACAGTAGTTCTTTTTTGGGGTCATATGTAGAATCCTATAAGGTAATCCCAAAAAGGAACTACAACACGCTCGAGCAGCAGTGCCAGCAGGGCAATGGGCGATGTCATGTGTAAGACAAAAACGAGTCGTGGTTAGTGGGTGTGCGGCGCAGTTAGCAAGACAGCGTCGTGGTTATGACGTGGCTTTGCGAAGTGTTGTCGCAAAGCTGCGCGAACTGCACACGGAACTGGCCTCCAGGAAGAGGGCCCGAGCACTGAACACGCAAAACCACCAACACCAGGTGGGCAACTGCTTCAAGGCTTGCAATAACCCCCTTGCAAGCCCGAGGCTTTATTCCCACGAAGCCAAACAGGCAAGTCAGAGGCTGAAAGCTGAATGGAAACCCACTTCGATTGCGACAGATCCCCAGCAGCACTAGGAGGCAAAGAAGCCTCCAATGCCAGCCCTGCCTGTTTTCCGACAAGCAAGGCATCCGCTGCACAGTACAGTAATCTGCTGAAGGGGGTGCCAAGGCAAGATGCAGGGGTGAAATCGCAAAATGCACGGTGGAAAAAGCAAGCTGCAAAGCATGCAATTTAATTCACTGTGACGCAAGAGCTGTGGTAGTCGAAGAACACAAGTGATATGCAACCGCTGCGCATACGAAGAAAGTGTGTAAGGCAGGAGCCTCTGCGTCAAATATGTCAACATTGTTGGCGCTGTGCAATTTCCAAAAAGCCCAGATGTCGCAAGAGGAAAGGTTCACTGAACGGCAAGCAGCACGATGTTTGAACAAAAGCTGGCACAGGCCCTGCAGCCAAGGGCGCAGCCACACAGCGCCGTTGGTCCACCAGAGGCGCAGGCCACTGAGCTTGTCCACATCGCACCGCTCAACTGTGCGACCCTCAGTGAGCAAGAGACGAAGCTTTGCGGCTGCCGTCTTTATTTTGTCAGCAGGTGCAGATGCTGATCGCGCGCACAAGTCGAAAACCCAGCCAATCCAGCCTAGCTTCCTGGAAAGTTGTAACTTTTCCCAAGACAAGGGAATCCCGAAGGAAACCAGAAACATGAGAGCGGTGCCACTTCAGTGTGCAGCGCGGCCGGCCGGCCGGAAGAGAAGGCCGTCATCGACACAAAAAAGTAAGCCGTGTGGCACACGAACGAATTGATGAAGAAAACAAACGAGCTGCGCGCCCAAGCGAACAATCCAGTACCTTGCCCAACGAGCACCAAAGCAGCAGGAGCGGTAAGCAAACCAGCGACCAATGAAGACAAAGCAATTGAAGCCCTGTTCCTGCTCAGCAACCACCACGAACATCAAAGCTAAGGGCGATCCACTCACTGCCCGACTCCACCAGGCTCAGGAAGTGCTGGATGGACTCAAAAGTTTGGCACTCGAACCTTTTCTTGGATGCGCCTGACATGCTTCCGTCACTCACATGTTGCATTCAGCGCTGCGCAACATTCCACTCCTTAGCCAGCTCCCCAAATCGAATACGGAGCTCCCTAACTTCAACCCTAGGAGTGAGCCAATCAGCACTCGATGGGCAGCCGCCTCCGTCAACAATCGGAAGAGTCACCGAAGGCGTGGACTTGCCAGGCACGGCAGACGCGGCTGGCAACATGTTAGGCACTGCAGGGCGGTACTGAGGCCTAGGCTTAGGCCCCAAAGCCGAGCAAGTACCACAATTCAACTCGGGATCAGCAGACACTTCATCAACGCCTGAAGGTGTCTCTGTGTCTCTGTGTCTCTGTGTCTCTGTGTCTCTGTGTCTCTGTGTCTCTGTGTCTGTGTGTCTGTGTCTCTGTGTCTCTGTGTCTCTGTGTCTCTGTGTCTCTGTGTCTCCATGTCTCTGTGTCTCTGTGTCTCTGTGTCTCTGTGTCTCCGTGTCTCTGTGTCTGTGTGTCTGAGTGTCCGTGTGTCTGTGTGTCTGTGTGTCTGCATCTGTGTCTCTATGTGTGTGTGTGCCTAGGCGAAGTGGGTACTTACAAAGTCAGATCAAACGTCAGCGATTGCCTGCTGTAGTTCTCGCGCCGGCGAACAGTGTCTGCCTGTATGGGACACCTCCAGATCACATCGCCACCCTTGCGGAAACGATCGGAAAAGCACCCGCTGTTCAATATTGTGTTTTGGAACCGCTGCCGAGAGCTGTAATCTGGATGCTTTCCCAATGTTGCCAAAAACACTACGACGCATGCATCTCGCATCCAACAGGCAATCTGTTGAGTCGATGAAGCAGCATTTGCAAACACAGGCTGATACAAGTTGTTGACATCACTCCAATCAATCCTTCTCTCTGCCTCTCCACCCGTGCCTAGAACACCTACCTCCACTCTCGCCAGGGTCTCCCTCCTTCTGTCCTTCTTTGGGCACTGGGGTCAGCTAGACAGCTAGCGATCCTCACCCCTTCAACCCACCCAACCACCTGGAATGCACTATGTCGTGACATGTGTCTTGCACGGTGCTGCCACCACCGAAAATGTTGAAGATACTTCGAAGATCTTGGCAGCACACTCCACGATCTCAAACAGTGGAGGGGACTCTTTCGCTCGAGACACATTCGACATCTGTAGTCGTATCTTGGCTGTGGGAGGCAGTCGAACAACCGTGCCGAGGAGCATTCCAGCAGAAAAGAGGAGCAGGTCGTAGAGCGACAACCAAGGAATTCCGCACATCAGGCAGATGACCAGCAACATGGAGCCATGATGGAGAAACCTCGAACCACCGCAGGGACTCCGTCAACGCCAGATTGCGTGTATCATCTCTTGCGGCAAGCCGGGTAGGCTCCCGGGGATTGCACGACACAATACATCCTATACGTGTATGACTCTGTATGACTCTACGCCCGAGCAGCCGCCAAAAGCGCGGGGGCCTCTGCAGCAGCTCGAATACAAGCCTAGGTCTCTGGGCAGCCGAGAGCATTGTCTTCCCACCTCTTGGTGTTGGTGAAACGGATGAAAGCCTTTTTGGGCCGTTCATGGTGGGGCCGTAGGCACGACACCTAGCGAAAAACGTCAGGTCATGACGGATGAGACCGTGTTGTTGATGCCTCCTCGGCAGTATCGCGCCTTTGCGCGTGAGAATCTGGGGTTGCAGCATGATGGTTACCTGCTAGTCTTGCCTTCCAGCTTCTGAAAACTTGCATTGCAGGTTGAGGTGTATGCACATATGAATTGCAAAGGGTAGTGTCAGATGCCACAGGATCTGGAACGATGCAGCGCTAAGCGTGATGGTGGCGGCGTGACCGGGCACTGCCACAAGGCCCTAGGGTTACTTAACACTGTCGGGTCTTAAGGGCTCGCAGCGCAAGACTCATACTATCTCATACGGCCCTCCTCTGGAACAAGAAGCCTGAGCAAACGGTTACACCAAGAGTACCACGAATTTCTGTGCAACACCTTATGTGAAGTCGTTCGCAACGAGTTCCGTAGGCCGCCCCGCCTTATTATTGCAGAGAAGTCGCACCGAGGACAGAACGGCCAGGCCCCAACGAAAAAGCCTTCCAACTGCAAATCTCTGTCTCTCTCTGCTGTGGATTTTGTTCGAACATTGAGGAGAAGTCTGGCCAGGAAGTCAAAGATGGCAGCCGCACAAACCGTCGAAGCACTGCATCATCTGTATCCTTCCATTGACATCATTGGCGGCCGTTGAAAATGCAATTGCTCCCATGTCCCACAGCCTCCTGGGTCTATGCTATTTTTTGCCCGTCATGGACGGGCCTTGCCGAGAGTTTAGCCATAGCCTTACCTCAGCACCGGCCTCCAGTGCATGTGCAAAAGGACCCAGGACAGGTCTTTGGAGTGAAGCATGCCGGCCAAAACGTTCATGCTCAGCGGCCATACCTGAAGCAATAATGGAAGACAGGCAGCAATCACGAAAATGGCCACCATCAACTATGCCGAAGGAACGAAGAGTATGCAGATCAGTCTTTACAGAGGAAGAAAAGCTCCAAGGGCCTAGATTGGCGTTCTGCGCTAGCTGAGCTTTGCACAACCCGGATTCACCTCTCACATGTCCTTCGAATCGCCAGACTTGGGGTCAAGAGTCTGGGGTATGCTGCAGATTCGAAGATCGGGAAACACACAAGCCGCCAAGCCGTGCTGCCAAGAGCAAGATGTCCACCATTGCGATGGCTTTGACGAAGTTCCTCAATCTGCACCAACTTTGAAACAATACACTCTGGCAATAGCCGAATTTCAGCATCAGGCTGCTCGTCCCGAGTTATTCCCAAGTTGATCAAGCGGCATTGCAGCCCGGTCGTGGTTCCACGGTGTCACGCCTTTCTCCTCACAACAACCAGTACCCTCTTCTAAAGGACAGCAGCTTCCTGCTCTTCCTGCTACGTGCTCCTCTGCTTTCTTGCTCGTCGCATGCAAGAATGCTGCGTGCATCAGCCGCGCCGCCAGCGGCAGCAGCAAGCAGCCTAGTACCAGGCGGCCCAACCATGAATCAACATCACCCGGTGGCAAGTCGCAACAGCACCGAGCCTGCGAACCATCCTTGCACCTCAACAACGGCCCGTGGCTCGGTCAGAACCTAAACTTGGCTGAGAGGCTCGGATTGCTTGCGGAGGGTGAAAAGGGAGAAAAGCGGGGAAGTTCGAGAAGCTATCCCAGCTCTGCTTCAAAAAACATCGCAGAAGCAGCCAGACGAGTGCTCTACTTTCACTGCGCCGGAAATTTGGCCCAGAAACGAAAGGCTTCGGACCATCGACATGGGGCCACGGTGCCAAGTGCAGAACCATTTCCTGTGTCTGCTGCGTCCGCCGCTAAACTTTCCTTCGGAAAGGAGCACGCGTATACCCTAACCAGGTCTGAACCAGCTACGGCTGCTGTGAAGAAGAAAGCTAACGGAGACATCCAAGCACCGCTTGAAATCCTGTGTGACCGGAAACACTATCTTGCAGCTTACAGCAGATCATGGGTGGTGGTGGATGACATGTCGGGAAAGCTTCATGAGACTTCATACACAACTTGATCCAAGCCCTGCAGGTTTCTCCCAACTTTCACGTGTCACAGCTCAGGAAGTCTTGCAAAGTCTGTGAGGCCGTCTCTCCAGGCGGATATGCCGCTGCGCCTTCTTGACTGATGCCTTCTAGAGGCGGCTTCACATGATCTCACATGCAAAAGGGACCACAGCATCCGACGCCGATCTTAGGGAAGGCTCTACTTGCACCTGGCCCCTTCCGGCGCGGGTAGGCTGCTTTCCACACGTCAGCCTCATTTCATTGCGGCCCGTGCTTTCTACAATCTCCATGCCTTGTTAGTTGCACTGCCGAGAAATCCTGCAACTTCACCCGAACTGGACCCCAAGTCAAGGCCGGGAATCTTGACCGTCTCGCTTGCAGTCGCCTGCCATAGCAGGCAGAACACGGCCAGTGCAACATTGAAAGGACCACACAGCCGTTCGACTCCAGATTGCGAGTTTCCTCTCCCGTTTGAACTCAAGCAGCGCACACACACACACACACACACACTTACTTGACAAACCTCACTCTCATCTGAAACGAAAGTGTGCGAGCTCAATATTGCAAACGTCAACATCAGTAGCGGAAGCATAAGCAGGTTGTTGTCCTGTTGGTGGTGCCTTTAACGAGCAAGACATGGCACTAACAGTTCGTGACCATACCAACAGTGTTCTCAGCCACTGCCGAAGCCAGCTACATCCCCATCACTTCTTCCATCTGCATCGTCGCCAGAAGCACGGGCCTGCTTGACCTTCTCTTGGTACATTTCTGAATGCACACATCGGACAGTTAAATGTGCAGGATGTCATTTTGTCGTGGACCCAGCCCTACCAAACCTGAACATCGCGAAGAAATTCAAGCACCAGTCCGACTCGAGTAACTTTTTGATGTTTGGCAAAGACTCGACAGGGACAGTCTTGTCAATCCGCGCTGCAACTCTTGGGACTTGGTAGCTGGACAGCAAACGTACAGCAAGTCGACCAAGCGAGCCGAGCACAACGGCTGAAGATGACCAAACCGACCAAATGTTTCGCACGTGGCGCACAGGGTTTCAGGGACGCGCGAGGCGTGTCTTTCTTTGCGAGCAGAGGCGGAACACCTCTTCGAGCAACGGCCCGGCTGAGATCATCTTCTCCAGATCTCCGCGAATCGCTGACATGGACCTTGCAGCCCGATCCGCGGCTCTGGTCAAGCACACGAGTGTTCCAGTCTGCTCGCCGTGAAGCTTTTGCTCAGCATCCTTGGGATGAGGGCATGACACCAGCGCAGCTATACTGAATAATCGTGGACGGGTCTACCAGCATCGACCGACCTCTCGGTGGCTTTTCGGACAGGCTGAACTGAGAGTGTGTTGCACTGGTTGTCGATAGCGCCGACGGGTCATCTGGAGGTGTGCCATTCACAGAAGCATGTGCCGAGAGTTCTTCCAACACAGGGATTATGTTCATAATCTTGTCATCGAGCGGCATGTACTGAAAATGCATGGAGACAATCTGAGAGAAGTCGCCCATCCAGCCAGGTTCTGTGGACACGAAGGTGTTCGCGTCGTCCAGAACCTCCAGGCGCAGCTCAGGTCAGTCGGCTTGAAAGACACTTCAATAGTGCCATTTGGAAGCAAAATCGCATGAATGCCCGTCAGTTCAATCTCATAAGGATGCACGTAAAGCCAACTCGTATACTTTTCGAGCCATTCAGCTGTTTGTGGATTTGCACGCATGTAGAGAACATGCCCGCACAAATGCAGTTCCCGTCCAGATGATGGGTCCACATGGTATCGACATCTCCCGATCGTGGGCTCTGTTGAACACAATGTCCGGGTTCCTCAGGAAAAGCTGATCCAAGTCGAAATACACCATCGAAATTCCCAGGTGCGCCATGATCACCGCAGGGATGTACCTGTGCAAAAGCGCTGTGGACCCTGGGCTCCAGAAGGAAACGAGATGTCCTTGTGCCAGGCACTTTTGAAAAAACCTCATCCGTACAACACACCGAAACAAGGAGAGGCGTCAGCCCAAGGATGTGCATCCACTTGACTGTCAGCCTGAAGACATCGTCAAACTTTTCACCATAGTACTGCGTATAGTAGACAGGCCGAGACAGTCTGTCCACTGCAAGGCCTGCCAGGAGAGAATACGTCGTCTTCGGAAACTCGGAATGCAGTGAATTCTCTGTGATCACCGATATCAAATCAGGGTTCCATGAAAAAAAGGGCACGAAACGTCTAGCCTCGTCCGAAGAGCCGAAGGGATTCAAAGCTGCCTTAACCTCCGGTGAAAGGTCCGCTAAGTGCCCTTTCCGCTTGGAGTATTGATCGTAAGTGGCCTACTCCGACGTCTGCAATGATTCGAAACATCTGTATCACTGGCCAATCTTCCGGATCACTACAGTATTCCAAAGGTGTGGACACAAGCAGCTCCTGTATGAGAAGTGCCACATCCTCGAATCGTCTCGTGTACAGGCTCTTCTCAGGGCCCAGAATGTAAGCATCGCTTCCCGTAGCTCCGGCCAGACCACTGGGTCCGCTGGGTCCTTCCAGGATGCCATCGATTTAACGTACGACGTACGAGCCAAAGCCCCATACAAATGCCCCAAAGAGCAAGATCGTGATGTAGGACCTCGTGCTGGTCCCTTGTCTCCATGCCCAGCATGCAATGCGCTTTCAATGCCCTCCACCTGCAGCAGCACACTCTCTTGCTTACATCAAACGACATAAGCACTGGAAGATTGGCTTGGTAAGCACCTCGAAACCGGGAACGCGGATCGAGAAACAACAGCCAGGATGGCTAGAACTGGAACGTGAACGCGCATAAAAAAAGCAAAGATGTCCCAATAAGCCTCTTGAATGCGACACTGAACCAGCATATACCAGCACAAGGCACAACAAAGTTAAAGATGTACAGAATGCTGAAACACACGGAAAATGCTTAACTTCCGAATCTCTACTCCTCCGCTCTCCTATGACGAACACGGCAGGCGGGATCGGCAACTTACTGGATAACCTGAACACCTGTGTGCTTGATTGGGTGGGTCACGCCACGCCAATCATGCCTGCACAGTGGCACAGCCACCGTTTGACATCCTCAAGATGTTTCATGATTCATGGTGAACGAGCAGGCAGGAGTCCAAGAACAGCTACGTTTCGATGCCCACAAAGGGAATCACAGTTTACATCAGGTGATCCCAACTGCCTAACTTGAAGCCGTCGCAGAACGCTCCAGCTACAATGCACGTGACCACTGGTGCTAGATGTGACAATGTGACAGCAGTCTCGACCAGATGCGACGGCATGTGCGTAGAGAAGTCGAGATGCTGACGCGACGCGCTCTAGTCTTGTTTGGCTGCAGATATCGGCGATGCAATGCCTTCATCCGTTTGGCCCAATGCCGACTCGCTTTCACATCATCACTACATAATCTACTGGGGCATCTGAACACCGCCAAGACTACCAACAGTAACAATACGTGAGTGCCCCACTCGAAGAAACTCATGTATCAACCATGACAGAAGGTTGTTTCTGCTCTGTTTGTATGAAACAGGTGGGAATAGCACTTCGGCTTATGCTCTGCACTCTCCCTTTATACCTTCGGGTGCCTCCGGTCGTGGATTAGGAAAACTGCGATTGAACATAAAGCCGCTTAGTTTGAGAGGGAATCGCTCAAGATTCAACGTCCAAAAGGAATTTTTGGAGCAGGGACTGAAAGTTCGAATCACAGGACAGAGAGCCTCAAACCCTCCTAGGTCATGGGCAAAGTCGAGAACATTCGACGTGGGGTCACTGGAAGCAAAGGGTGGCTGGCTCGCGCCTCCGCGCCGTGAAGTTGGCCTTATTAGAGGCGTCGTGTTTAGCGATAGGCTGCCCGACGTGCTCGCCTGGGGGCAGGATCAGTATACTCCAATGGCCACGGGGTGCTCGAGAAGAAGCACGCCGTGGCCGACAGCATGGTTGCTGCAGAGTTGTCCTTTTGTCTGATCCGCACAGACCTTCCTGATTTGTTCCCGATCATCTCAAACGTTTGGCTGTCTGTAGTGGCACGTCTTACGATCCCGGCTGGAGCGATTTCTTATGCCGAGGTCAGTTTTCTACCGCGCGAAGGGGTCCCCTCAGCCATGGGAAAGCTAGGCCCGGGAAGGCCACTCAGCAAAGCGGTTTGCACACACTGACTCTTTGAGCACGTCCCGACCTTGGCACGAGGAGGGCAAAGTGCCTGTACATCACCTGCACATTGCAAGGTTTCGGTGCGGCAGGTTCATGAGCTGTCTCTTACTTGGACTCAAGGGGGTGTATCAACGGATCTACGTAAACCGTTGCAAAATCGTATCAAGCCCTATTGGGCCTTCAGCAACAGACCCGGGCTCCAAATCAAAGCACTTATCCACGTTTTGGATGTCACGGAGCCTCGAACATCTGCCAGCGACTCAAAGCCACGAAGTACCACGAGACGCGGCCAAGAAGATCTTGAAAGTGCTCTCCTCAATGCGACGGCAGTGCTTAAGAGTATGCGCGCATGCGGATGGCTTCTTTACACTACTCTGTCGGCCTCTGTGACATTGGCGAAGGAGGCACAGATTGTACTCAGTGTCGAGGCTTGTGGAAGAGGAGTTCACAAGTTCGAAGGCTGCTAGGCTGAGCCATTGCACTAACACGACTACCGCTTACCGGAACCTACATGCCGGAGCGCTGCGGCACCTCTCCTAATCATGTATTTGCCGGCAAGCCTCGCAGGAAACAGAGTTGTGCAACATCCACCGGAGATTGATCGAAGCTATCGGGGCCGTAAAAATGCCTTCAGATACTCATACTCCCCAGTAAGAAGCTCCACTGACTCCACCCTCCCAGCGGCTTCCTCATGCATGTACATCAAGGAACTAGTTTCCAGCAAAAGCAAGTACAAGACCCCAATCGGGCACTCTGTTTCAGCCTCCCACAAGACTCGTTCTGCTCCGATGCGACCCTGCATTCTCCAAGCATCCTCAAACTGCCACCAAACCAGTGTTTCATTGTCCTGATTCTCCCAGCTCGAATGAAGAAGATCCCACTGGAAGGTCTCAAGTTGAAGTAGAAGGGAATCTCAGCTCCAGGTCCTTCCACGTAGGTCGGCCAATCGAAGCCTCCTGAGAAGCCAAAGCTCAGGCAGAGCCAAAAAGGGCCAAAGCCAGCGCCGCCCTTCATCCACGCAGCGCAGAAAGCGCTCCGAGCCGAACACCGAGCTTGATGTCTTCACTATGTCTTTGATGTCCTGGATGCTTCGAGTCTAGAGTTTCTGAGCTCAGAGTTCTATCGTTGAGCCGCGATGGGCATCGGGTCAGCACGACCTGGGCTTGTTGGCTGCAAAGCTCTGACACGACTCCTCTATGTCAGAATATGTTAGAATGCTACCTCCTTTGGTCAAAATGTGGCATGGGCCAGAGATTGATCATCTCTTGCTGCCCTGACGCGTGCGTGGGGATGACAAAGTCACGGCATACTAATACTAAGAAGGGCACCTACAGTAGCAGTTACAGCATTCGTGGCAGTGACGCCCTTAGGACATTGACGCCTGGACCTTTTGAGTGCCATCGCCTGTCGCTGTGACGACTTGACACGCTGCCACGCAGGGGATCAGCGCAGAGACGAAGTCATGCGAAAACACACTGGCTCATACTGGCTGCGGATGTCTAATTCAGTGATCAGCAAGGCTTTCGCATCGGAGCGTGTTCTACCCTCGGTGAGACGAGACATACCATCAAGACAGCACAAATCCAATCGAATCTGGTTCCTGTGGCGAGATCCTGAAGAAGCTTCCTACATCACGTCGTTTCGAACACCTTCTCGGAGCAACCACTAACTCACTAGAATGTTGGCTACTAGCTACCACGGCATGTTGGGCCGGATATGTACACGGAAACGTAGAACGACTCCTTCGGAGTCGCTCCAACCATGTCAGCCAGGCTCTGAGGCTTGAGTGTACACGTTTTGAAGTCCGAAGGTACTCGAAGTTAGATCGCACATCAAAACTTCGGAGCACTAACTGCGAACAATGATGCCATGACTGCACTGGCTGCCCTCGCTGGCTGCGCTGTTGCCGAAGATGTGCAGCTGGGCCGATCTCTCAAAGCCCTGCACATGGGGCGAAGGCAACTTTGGTCAGCCTGCACGGCCACTCAGCTACTCCACAAGCTCACCATTGCTCCAGTAGCCCTGACGCACACTGCCGTCAGCATCGGTGAAGACACCGAAGCCCTCCTCGGTGAGGTTCGATACATGATGCCATTTTTGTATGCCTTCACGCGGGTTGATGCGTGCGCCTCTGAGTGAGGGAGCCTAGGATTCGAGTGGATGTTGGAAGTCTGTGATACGACTCCGGGGCCCTTGACGTGGCAGTTTACGAGCTCATTGTGGCCGAACACCTGGGCACCTCTCAGTCTCAATACTGTATGTGTCACTTGGCAAAAACAGCCATCTGGGCAAGCTGCAGGATTGAAAATCTTGGCCACTCCTAGAAACAAGCATTGTACAAACACACATGTCAGTTTCGGAACCCTCTCACCGGCCTTCTTATCGAAGTGGTATCTGCCTGCATACCTTGAAGCGACAAGCATTTCAATGCAAGAAAGCCGGAAAACCGCAGATGACGAACGACTCCATGTTTACATGAATCGCGTAGTCAATGCTCCTGCGAAGTTGGGATGGCTGGTATGCAATGAGCTTCTTGGAAGAGCGTGGAAAGCAGTTCTGGATTCTAGACTGTACGAAGTCAGTCTCTCAGAAATCCACGCGCGACTAGCACAGGAAAGAGAAGATACCCATGCATACCTGTCGGCATTAAACGCAACAGGCACATGTTTGCAAACTAACCGGTGAACAAACACATCGCCCGAACAACTGGCCAAGAACAAGCACCGGTCCAAGGCCTAACTGCATCATGCTTAGTAATACGTACTTCATTCGCACGGATGGCTTGACGTTGCGCCTAGCATATCACACGCACTTTCCTTCGAATATTGAAAATCACCATGTCCATCGGCAAGCGACAGCAACGTGACTAAACGTCGGCTCAGCCGCAAGAACCAATCACATGGGCAGGCTTTCGTGTATATTCCTGTGTTTACACAGGAGCTGACTGTCAACTTGCCATCGAAGTCACGTTCTTCCATCCGGCCACTGGTAGACACCAATGCCATGTGGCATGGAGTTTTCCCATTGGCCACGGAAGCTGGGGCCTGGATGGGCTGTGTATCGACACAGGAACCAAATAACTTCCGGCTTGAGGGCCGGGGATCCACACCGATTGTTTTCTCTGTCGCCAAGACATGTTGCCAGTGCCGTTGCTGTCTTGCTGTATCTTCTGCATCCGTTGCTGTTCCGTCGTCGTTGTCGCAGCTCTGTTTGCAGCCTGCTGCACACTTTCATGCTTATGACTCCTATGCTGAATTTTTCATGACAGCTGGCAGATGACACTGACACGAGTGTTTCTGCTTGCTCGTCGGCTTCTACTGCTGCTGTCGCCACGACAACTTCCCCTTGTTTGCATCAGGACTTGTGCAATCGCCCGAATGTTTGAGCAATACTGAGGCTCAGATCTCATGACTGATCCTCCGTGCCCTGCTCAAAAACCGTGCCGGAACAACCTCCAAGACACAAACATGATCCACAGCCGGTTGCGAATAATGCACATCACGAAAGACAGCCAAATGACGACAGCGATGGCGATGGGGCGATGACGACCACGACTTCGAGTCTCTACTGCTGTTTGCGGAGCATAAGCTGCATGTGCCGTGCCTCCACTGAGAGTATACTCTCCAGGGCCAGAGGGCGAGTTTTCACGCCAGCTGCCGTGGTATACCTCAGGTCCAAGGAAGCGTGGCATCGGAACTGTGGTGCGGGGCAAAAAAGCCCAAACATGTCTTCTTCAACAGTTACTACGCACCATGGGGTTGAACAACCTTTGGTTCGCTCCTCCTGAGAACCGCAGCCCAAAGACACAGGGTAAGTTCATAGTGGGGAACAACACCGAAATGCGATAATCATCAACACCAAGTCGTTCCTTCTCGAAAGCAGAATGTCGTGGCCTCCCCTTCCAACCGTTGGCCCAGCAACGGTTCCGTCTGGCCACTTGTTGGACCCGAAACCTGGCGAAAGAGCTCTCGAAGAGATGCGATGCTACTGGCGCTTGTTCCTTCACCTGTTATGATAAAGGCCGTGCCAGGCACTTGCATCATGGCGACCCATGAAATCCAACCCAGCATCTGATGCAGGCCCTGGATGTCTATTCGGCAACATCCGCGGATCCACAATCCAATGCCCCGTGCCATGCCACAAAGTGGCCGCTTTTTCTACCCTGCAGGAAGCCACCAGCGTAGCCTGAAGCACGCGGCTAGACAGGTTGAGTCGAGACTGGAAACAGGATGCCCTGCTCTTGGAAGATGCTCAACGAGAAGATTGTCCCTGTGTGGACAGGCCGCAGGAGCCATCCACCCATCGCTCCACACCCAATCCGTCGCGATGGTCGCAGCGAAACTGGCCTTCGCACAAAGGATAATGCACTGATGAATGCAGCGTGCCCAAATGCCCCAGCTTTTAGCACTCCCTCTCGGCAATGCAGGCGAGGTTTGCGGTGAACCTATAGGTTAGAGGAGGGCAGAGCCCTAACTTAGACCCTTACAGTTTCGTCCTGACAAAACAAAGATTTAGGCCGAACCCGCCTTCGTAGCTGGCTGCACCATCCTGGCTCATTGCATTCACGGGTCGTACAAAGACACTGCAGACCAGCTTTCAGCCATGTTGCAGTTGCGCTAGACTACCTGAGAAATGTATTGCACTTCTTGCATACGATCCCGTGCTTCTGACACATGGGGGTCGACGCCCACGAAGATCCCGCAGCCTGGAAACGATACACCCCCAAGCCATGAGCACGGCCGTTGACCCACTGGCCAGTGTAGCAGTCGCCGTCACTGTGCCTTTGTAGGCATAAAGGCTTGCAAACAAATCGGAATCTTATGTTCATACGAGCTAGGTAGTTGCAAATGCTCAGAACCAAACCCCTTCCGTGTTGCCAGCATTACGAAGTGTCTGCAATCCCCAAAGCATCCGTGTGTGAACTTTTTGCAAGAATCACGTCACCGCACTGAAACCCCGGCAGGCAAGTTGTCTACTCCTAGAGTGGACTGAAGGACCTGGCCATCATGTTGACAAAACACCGCGTTTGGATGTGAAGCCAGGCTCCTGGAAAAGACTGCCGAATTGGCTGGAATGTTAGGCCGCCGGATCAAACAGGGCAATCGGTGCCAACTTACCGCTCGGGAACCCTGAAAAAGGGCAGGTTGGAGAGGCCATGTGCAACCAGGCTACTTGATGCACCCGACGCCGCTGGCACGGCCCTCGCGCCACTGCCCGACATACTCCGTGCCATCCGGCCACATCTGGCGTCAAAACATCAAAACCCACAATGCTGATACCGAACCCTATTGCCACTGCTGCTTCTGCTATCAATAGTACTATTGTTATACTGAGTCCTACGGCTACTCCTTACTCCCTGCTCCTGCTCCTGCTCCCGCTCACGCTTCTGCATCTGCATCATCTGCTGCTGCTGCCGCCGCTCCCGCTTCTGCATCTGCATCATCTGCATCTGCAGCTGCTGCTGCTGCTGCTGCTGCCTGCTACTACCACTACTACTACTATACTACCACAACCACTGCCACCACGGCTGCGGCGAGTACGGCTACGACTGCAGCGACGACGACTACTACTACTTCCTCTAGTCCTACTCCGACTCCCACCCTTGCTCCTACCCCTACTCCCACACCACTACCGCTACCACTACCACTCCTGCTGCTACTGCTGCTGCTACGCGAGCGGTACTGCTACCGGCAGGAACATCACCAGTGCGACAGTAGTGCATCTCTACTGCCACTCTGAGACTCTGCATCATGCACTTGCCACCACAGCAACAACAACCACCAGCGCCACCAGCACGGGAACGACGACAACGACAGCAGCAAAGAGGAGGCCGCCGGAGGCCTGCTTCCCCATACCATGGCGGGAACCATTCAACCAGTCGCCGTCGTAGACAGCACCAGACTGGAACTCATACCTACCAGAGCTGCCAGGCATCGGCTAATTAAGCTAAAGCCCTGAACAGTGCTTTAGGACTTCGAACTTGCGGTACATGGCCATGACGAGAGACTGAACCAAACATGTCAAGTCTCAACCTGACACATTCACGGCACAGTTCCGTAAACCGAAGAGAGGGAAGCCAAACCGAGCCAGTAGGCACTCATGACACTTCACCTGGAGAACGCATGCACGCGCTGCAGCACTAGGCATCGATGGCTTGGTGCTGCAGGCCCCACTCAAAATAACGAGCGCAGCTTGTGCCGTCCACTACACTGTCATGTCTGCAGGTTCAAGATGGTGAAGTGTCGAAGAAGCGCTTGCGGCTACACTGCAATACAAATTCCAAGACCACCACAAGAATACCACAAATGGAAGGGACATGGCGCAAAACAATCGTGCAGAAGCTACACAAGGCCTCAGACGCTGGCTGATGCTCTCATCCTGGACAGGGCAGAGAAGGCTAGAGATCGTCTGCCTGAGCCTGAAGAGGGGGAGACGGGGGGATCAAAGTGGCTCGTGGCCCGCAGGTTTCCGATCTGGCACAAGGTCTTTTAATCTCGTAGGAGTCCATGCCCACAGATTTCTTGCACACACGGTGCTGCTTCGGCTTGATGCATTCCGGAATCCCCGTCGGCACAGGACCCCCTTCGACGACATCCTGTGCAATTCTGCTTTTCCTGGCAAAATCCACATTAGTCGTGCCACATCGGGCGACACATGCAAGACTTTTTAAGTTGCACGGCATAGGCATAGGCGCTCAAGCGTGACGAGTCTGCACGGCTTCAGAAATTGCAAGCAAGTATTAAGTTCCAAGCACACATCTCAGAGCGGACAGAGAAGGTGTCGGTCAAGACTTCTTCGACTCATGTTTGTGCGGTGAAGTGTTAGGTTGACGCAGCTGGGCTTATACCTGGTGTTTCTTAGTAGGATGCCACACCACACCGTCTCAGCCGAGTGTCTTGCTGGATAAAAAAGACTGGAATTCAAACACCCAAACTCCCACTTGTGTCGTGCGGTCCAGCCTCAAGCACAGGACATTCACCAATTTCGCAGTCGAAATACCTGCTCAATCATCTGCTGCCCAATAACTGTACATCTTGCACAATTGTACATGTGTGTGGCACAACTAGGTCACAAGGTCGAAGCTACAACAAGCTGGAAGCTGGGCGTCATCATCGGTAGCTGCGGCATGTTCGCAAGCTGAGAAACTGTGCTGCCACGACGCGTGTCAGGGAGCCGGCTCATGTCCAGCCCGTCCGGCACGGAGGCTGGAGTCAGGCTGTGGGAGATGCTGATGAATCTGTGTTCTTTACCACAACTTCCTGCAGAAACTCTGCCCCTTCTTCGAACTCCCGTCCAGCACCTATGCCCTCAGCGCGCCCTACGGACTGAAACATCGAACAAGCAAAGCTTCCTCGAGCGTCAGGGGCAAACGCAGATTCCGGCGCCTCGCCCTGGGCCACATGCTGGTCACTTTCGCCGAGTAAGACAAAGGAAGGCAGGCAGGACTTCGGATTCTTAAGGGTGCACTTGGGGGGGCTCCCTCTCCTCCCTGTTAGCCTTAACGATCGTGCTCGAGTACTGCAGTCTCAGCTAAGACAACTATGCCGCTCCGTGCAATCGTGGCCTTTGTTCCCAAGGTGGAAAGCCCTCTTGAAAGAAACACCGACCGATTCATTCCATTCCGGTCACCCGCGAAGACTCTAGCAGTCCTGGTTGTTACTATGTTGACTCATCATGCCGCGAAGGCCTTTTCAGATCTCGGCCGGCTGCTGATGATTTCCACCGCCAAGCTTCGCGAAGGCACCTGCGATGGGATCAGGGCAGCTACTCGACCACGGACGCAGGCCAAGTCAATGCAGGATCGAAAGAATCGCTCTCAATGACAGTAGTCAGGAGTGAAGAGGATACAAACCGACACAAACATCGGACTCCGTCGCAAGACCTCGAGTGTAGCTTTTGATTAGTTCGTTGGGCTTCCTCAGCATGTTGCACCTGGACCGTAAACGAAAAGCAACCCCGCCTCGCTGACCGCCAAAGCATCCACTGCCGTCGAGCGGCTGGGCTCAGCCTTGGGATGTTGATAATTTTTCAGCAGGTTAGCATCGCGGCCTGCCTTTTGTGAAACCAAGCCTCAGGAGCAGAGTTGCGGATGCTATTTCAGGAAACGGGATAGCACACCTCAGGAAAAGTTCCATGCGAAACCTTCCAAAGCAGGTCTTTTGATTCTCACAACTGGGACAAGTCCTGGCAAGACGCTTCATGGATTCCCAACATGGCTTGTTAGCTTCTGAACTTCGTTCTTTTCTTGCCGAAACCGACTGCACAACAACCCGGCCCGAGAAGAGAAAGCAAACAGTATCAAAATGCTTCAGCACGCGACATCACGTTTGAACGTCAACTGCAGCGAAGTGCTGTGTGGCTCCTCTGTTTTGGTTTCTTGGCGTTTGGGCTCGACGCATCGAATCGTCCTGTGCATGGGAAACTCTATAGCACGTGGCAGGCTTTCGGCTTACTTTGGCCGAGACGGCCAGGATAACTCTTGTTATCAGAATCCTCGATCACTTTAAGTTCAGCAAGACAGGGATCCGCAGCAGGAGGATGGCCCCGCCGAGGCTACTTCTTACACCACACATAGGACAACTGCTCTTACCTTCGTACCATAAGAAGGGTAAAACATTGCAAGGTTATCGTTCGAATTTGTTCGCTTGCTAGCAGCGAAATAAAAGACCAGCGGCTATCTTTCTACCAAAAACACAGATAAAGAACATGTTTCTTTCTGGTTGGGGCTGCGGGCATCAACACAACTTCAGATCTTACGTACAATGTGCTGTTCTTCTCTCACGGGGAGGCACGCGAACTCCTGGTACATTGAACAACCATAGTAGGGCCCCTTCGCCCCGTGATGTCAACAAATTTAGATCCTTCATCCTTCCATGGTTCGGTAAAAAATCAATAAACGGTCTCCGTCCTCATAGCCTCATAACAAAAGTGGAAGCACCTCGCTATCACTTCTACGTTGTCTACATGTCCTTCTGTTTGGAACCCAAAAACCACTGCATTACGTCTCGACCACTAACCTCAGTTAATCTTACTTGAACTTCGACCACATTCGCTGAAGAAAACTTTCGTGATTGAGGAACTGGCATACTAATGTACGCAGAGAAAATCCACTTAGTAAGTACAGTTCGTTCATCTGTCAAGCTGTAACAGGGGAACTTCTCAGCTTCTTTTTCTGCTAACTGAATGAAGCTCTTCTGCCTCTCACTACTGAGAAGAAACAAGGCAGCTTTTTCACGCAACCAAAACAAGAAAGGGGAGAGCCCCTTCGCGTCATAGTCGGCAGTAAAGCATGTTGAATCAAGACTGGGGCTATCTCTTGCCGATTCAAAACGAAATACAGCACTGAGCCCACGTTTGTGATAGGAAGAACACAATCGGCAGGCACCCAACACGGAATGGCAAACAGCATGCGTCCTGGGATTCAGGTGGCTGTGACATGACACAAATGAGCAACATGAGTTGCCGCAAAATCCAATGTCGTTTACGCCTGAGTGACAACAGGCAAAGACAGCAAATTGTGGAGGCACAGTCGCCAAGAACGGAGGAGTGGATCATGGGAGGGGATGACCACATCCGCACATATATCATATATACATATTTATTTTTCTGTTTGTTGACGCATGTGTGTTTTTCTTCATACATATACAATACACATGCACACGTATCTGCCTTTGTGCCTTTTTTTCTGTTCCTCATATTCGGGCATGACCGATTCCGGAGCCTGCACAGGCAGTGGCTGCGGCAGCGGCTGCTGCACAGCATCGAAGCAGGGCACCTTTCTGGCATGCGAGCTCTACAAGCTCTGTGAGCTCACGAGCTCGATTTTGAACTATTGAAAGCCCGCTCACAAACTGGCTAGACTCGCGAGATCTCGCGAGGCTCGACTTTCGGCGGCCTCCTTCACGGAACAGTGATTGCCCATGGCTTTTGGCCCCAACCACAAAAGCCCTGAAGTCCGATAGACACTAAATAGAACTTGGATCCCACAGAACTTGAAAAGAACATCTCGGACCTCAACTAAGGGCAGGTCGCACACGCCTGGTCCGTATTTAGGGAGCTCGTATCCCAACTGGCAGGCCTGTCTTTGGGATGGGCAAACTAGCAATCAGCTCGGTGTGAAGCTTTTGCTGCTGGCTGTATGGTCCTCCGTGTTGGTTTTGAGACTGCGGTGGCTGGAACCCTTCAACTTCAATTTCCACACATCCTGTCCAAACGGCTGCGATTGCGCGGCAGGGAGCACAGAAGTAAGGACAATGACGTCAGAAAGGCCTCAATTCGTTTGTTTTTCTGAGCAGGAAGATTCAAGCAATACCATGTGCAAATCTAAAGCGAGTCTCCCGAACCATCCGACTGCACGTGGGCAGAACAGGATGAGCAAACAGAAGCCCCGAACTGAACTTTATCTTTGCCCACGTCCGTGTCTCGCCTCAGCCACCGCCGACATCACTTCTGCTGCCTGCATGGAATGACCATCTTTCTTGCTGCACACTTCGTGATGGAGGCTTCACAGATTCAATATGAAGGGTGAGGATGTCGATTGCCACGGCAACAACGGTCATGCTGATAGTTTGTTGTTGAGGAACTACATCCTGGCGGGCATGATTGAAGATGCGATGCCGGCCGTGTGGCGAATTTTTGATCATGGCGGCGATGATGGAGGTGAGATGATGGAAGATGATTCAAAAGCCAAAAGTTTGGAGCACAAAACCATGGAGATACTGCTGCTGATGCTGGTGAAGAGCTGGTGAAGATGATAATCCTAGTCACCATGCAAACAATCTCTTCGCCATGGCAATGTGCACCTTCCTCCTGTTAGCGATATTGATGGTGAAAACATTCGCAGGATCTGCCCCGATAGAACTGAAAATGTGAGAAGTCGCGGCCAGGAGTCCGCCACAACACGCCTTTTTCCATAGCAAGATCAGCTCTCGCAGTCGAAGGCCACGCCGTCCACGCCTGGCCAGCACCAGGGTGGCCGGGCTGAAACGACGTCGACCCGCCGAGGGCCAAGACCATCGCATCGGCCACCAGAGCCAGAGCCTTTGGCCCAAGACATCGAGCCGCAGATCCTACGCCCGCGGGGAGCGACAGGAGACCTTCATTGAAGGTTTGTCATGTGACCAGTTACCACAGAATCGTCCTCGCAGCGTGGCCCATCTCGAGGATGGCTCTGAGGCTCAGGCGAAGTGGATTCGCTGCACGTGGCCCCCTTCTTGCAGCCCCAGTCAACACTTCGGGCAGCTAGGCATGCCTGGGTGCTAGCCGCTGATCAGGGAGCGTTGGGCGGCTAGCATGCCTGCTCCCGCACTCAGTACCACACAACAGGCTTTCCTGCAGTAAAAGATGCGTAGGATCAGCCGGCATAGTTGTGCAGCACTTTGCATACAATCCTTGCACGAGGGTGGTTAGAGTTGCACCCAAACGCCACGTCCGCATCCGGATAGGAGGTTGCTGAACCAGCCTCAGGATCCAATTCCCCGCTTCCAACCTCGCCAAGTTACGAAGCAGCCCCAGCCCTCTGCTGGCCCTGACTTTATCTAACTTCTCGATCACATTAGCTCACGTGTTGTGACATGCACGGCAGTGAAACATTCCGCTTGAGGGTGATGGTGTTCCTTGAAGGTGACAGCTTCGACCTGAAACGCATAGCTCCGATCCAGTTTGACCTCCGTCATGTCGTATCTACTGTCCGCCACGCTTCCATCCACTTTTCACTACAGTTCACTACAGTAGTCACTTTCCCTGACGATGCTGTCTGTATCTCAGACCGGCCGCCAAAGCAAGAGCGGCCCTTCTGGGAGTCCGCATGGTTCGGTGTGGTCGCACGTGGCAGGCGGTGAGCAGAATCCATGTCCTGGCGACATCGCGAACATGTTGAAAGTGACTTGAATCTAGATTTAAGCGAACGAACCATCAAAGCCTCGTGCTGTGGGGAAGAAGTCATCGCAGCTTACAGGATTTTGTGTTTGTCACCGATCATTCAGCCCGTCTTCTTCAAGCGACGAAAACTACTTCAGAAAGTCGCACTTGACTTCACGTGAACGAGAGCAAGATTCTAGGCAGAGACGGCAAAGTGGCGAGCTTGAGCATGCTACTCCTGTGGCGTGATAGGCAGAGACGGCAAAGTGGCGAGTTTGAGCATGCTACTCCTGTGGCGTGATTTGGACGCCTTGTAAGCAAGCTTAGCTCGGCCTCGAACGGTGAAGAAAACTGTTCAGGACACCATCCGCCCGATGAATCTGGCTGTTGTCTTCTGCGTTCTGAACCAGAGGCAGATGCAAAGCAATCAGCTCACGTGAAAAACGACACACCGAGTTGCTTTGGGAGGACGTTGCCCTCGAAGATATACAATCACATGCGAAGGGTTTCGCAGAATCTAAGGCCCAAGCCTGCCCCCCCCGCCATGGCGTGGTGCCGGTGTTCTCGCTCGGGTTGTTGCTCTGTCGACTCGCGGTGCCGATGGTATTCGCACCGGCTCTCGCTGCGAGCTTAAGGCCAAAAGCTGCAATCATGCCTGTCTCGACGCATGCCGTTCACGTTGTACTGACGTTCGACTTTCCACCCACCCGTGCTGGCTGGTGAGCAGGAGCAAACTTCGGCAAGGGGGCCGCGTGTTCCGCAGAGGCCTAGTTCACTTCCTTATTGTGATTGCTCCACACTTAGAGGTGGTGGTGTTCCCCTTTTCTCCTTGCGGATGGTGCCCCTGCCACGCTTCGCTCTTGCCCGCTCTTGTGTGGTTCTCCCCTGTGCCAGAGCATGGACGGTCACGCAGATCATCGCATTGACACCTGTCGCCTCGTTCCGCCCCGTGATTTGGGTGTAGCGTGTCCGCAACCTGCCTGCGACAATGCAACGTTATGTTTGAAATGCGAGTCTGCCCCGCATGGTGAGTGTGGGGGGGTGCGAAGGGGTGGGGAGGGGGGGATGGGAGGGCTGAAACCAACAAATCTAGACTGACTCAAGCGAACCAGTGCTTTCAGAATATCAGCAATGACATGACGGCACACTCACAATCATACATCACGTGCGCTTTGATGCGCTTTGGCTCAAGTGGTTTCACTACACCAGTACCTGAGCTCTCTGAACGAGAGAGAAACAGCGTGCTAAGGACCATGAACTATCCTGATCCTTCCTCCAGGAGACAAGGGATCCGGAGGGCAGGGGAACGGCGGGACCCGGAACTCTTCGTATCGGACATGCTGCGGTCTTTTGCGACTGGCATTCCATTAGGACCTGATGGGGAATCCCGCAAGGGACTCGGAATATCGTCAACATGTTGAAACGGAAAAAGCAAGGAACCATAAAGAGCAGTCGCCTATTTATGAGGAAGACGTGCAAACAAGAAGGCTCTTCGCTGACGTCCAACCCTACTGTTGATTTCGTCGCGAGGCCAAAGACTCCCGCGGGCACGTGCGCTCTAACACGTCGGATGCGTCACGGGCCTGACGAAGGAGGTGGCGGGATAACGACTCCAGCCAGCCAAGGTCTCAGAACACAACGACGGTGGTGTGGACGACGAGTCGGCTCCGAGTGGAAGCCAAGCAGTAGAAGGCAATTACGCCACTCGGTCGTCAGGGGTCGGCTGGCAGTGACGTAGAGCGTAGTCGTGCTCCGAACTTACAGGCCTTCGGCCGCTGCGCGCGTTCGCATCGAACCAAATCGCCTGCACACCGGCTATACAGTCCACATACCCTTGACCAAAATGCAGGTCTCAAATGTCCTGCCAGGATTCAGGATCACGGGCCGAACTGCTTCACGGACTGGACGAATGGGTGGATAGACAGGTTAGTGGATGGATGTGTGGATGGATGGATGGATGGATGGATGTATGGATGGAGGAATGGGAGGGAAGGAGGGATGGAGGCATGGAGGCATGGAGGGAGGGATGGAAGCATGGCTGCATGGATGAATGGAGGGAGGGATCGCGGCATGGAGGGAGGGACGGATGGAGGGAGGGAGGGAGGGACGGATGAAGGGATGGAGGGATGAATGCGGGAGTTTTGTGGAGGGTTGGATGGATGCCTGTACGGATGGAGAAATAATGGCTGGATGAAATGGTGTTCGGTGTCGAGATGGTGACTATAGTTCAAGTATTTGATTGGCTCCAGCCCACCATGTCTTCTTTTGCGGGGGTTGGTTGCTTACTTTATGCGCTCCCTTCCGTGGTTGAACATTCATTAGGTGTATTGGCACGGAGGGCGCACGCTGTTCTAGCCCGCTTGACACCCGCAAGTCCGATCGCACCACCCTTCCTACTCGTCGACACCACACTCCGGTCGTCATACTCGTCTCGTTGGTAGTACCTGCATCGATGCACTCACTGATGTCCTGGGGAAGCTGCGCTGCTGCACTCGGGGCCACGAATTGCTCCAGCAGGCGATCTGCAAAAATCCTTGCATTTCAAGGCCCCGTTGGCTTAGGGATGCTTTGTTAAGTGTAGCAGAAAACTAGGAATCGGCAAACTTAAAGTCGGAAGCAGGGAGGTTCGGGTTCCGGGCTGTTGTTCATCTGGCACCAATAACGCGAACACGCACACATGGGGGTACAGCATGTCAATCGAAGCTGAGGAAGGCGCCGGCAGTGGCATTCATTGATGCTGATCCGGGAGCTGCAGCTTTGATACAAGCCTGCTTCATCCCAGGTGAAGTAGGGATAGTCCAGTGCCGCTGTAGCCACAAACTCGACGATGTCCTGAAGAAGAAGAAGAAGAACATCGGGCTGCTTGCTACTGCATCCCGGCGCACGCCTCCTTGCCCGGCTCATTTGGTCGGTCAACGTGCTTGCATGCATTGCAGAGCTCAGTGGCCTACATGTAGAGTCTGGGATGTTTCAAACTACCAGCAGTCACAGCCTGCAACAGCGCTTGAGACCTTCAAGGTCCCAGCTGCACTAGCTTTTCTTTCGCTGTCGACTGCCTCTTGA